TTCCTTTTTTATTTAATTTCAAAATAGATCGTTAAGGTATAGTGGTTTCTTGAATGAACTTCCATTTTCAATTTTTTGCCACTTTCGTTTTTATTTTTATTCGACTTGCATTTTTATTCAATTTACTTTTCCATTAACTTCCTTTTTTATTTAATTTTCAAATAGATCATTAAGATATAGTGGTTTCTGTATTGGACTTCCATTTTTAATTTTATGCAACTTTCATTTTTATTATTATTCAACTTCCATTTTTATTCAATTTTCTTTTCTATTGAATTTCCTTTTTTATTTAATTTTCAAATAGATCGTATAGCGGTCCCGATATTTCCTGTTGTTGTTTAACTATAATCCGGACTCGGTTCCGTAGATTCGTTGTTATCTTATCCTCATTTCTATCCCTTACTCTTTTAATTAGAATATTGGGTTGTGTTGGGCAGGTTGGGAATAAGTGGGTCGTGTTTTAAAACTTAGAAATTTTGCCCAGGTTTTGGTCTCTCCGCTCGAGCAGGCGATTTGATGCTCAAGCGGGTTTTTGTTGTTGCCTTTCCGCTCGAGCGGCAGTTTGGACGCTCGAGCGTGAATTTCCTTCTCTCAGCATTTTGGACGTCTGCAGAAAATTCTGGGAGAGTGTATCCGGCGCTCGAGCAGATCTTTGGACGCTCGAGCATGAACCTGTGTCTGACGCTCGAGCGGGGTGTTGTACGCTCGAGCGGACCTGGTTTTATATCAGTCCGTGAAATCACCTTTTTGATCATTTTTTGATTTCCTTCCTCTCTCTTACTTTATCAAAACCTCCATTGGAGAGCACCTGTAGACACCCCATTTTTGACCGTCCTCAAGACTTGGACGTCACCGTTTGAACACTCGGTGATTATCCATGTTTGTGTTCGTTTGGAGTTCCCGGAGGTCTCGGCTACGCGCCTTGCCTCAGGATCTCCGAACTCGACTGTTTAGTGTCTGGTTTTGCACCAAACACTTGTGTTTTGCCTTAGAGGGGCAGGGAATGCCTTGTGAGGCATCCCCACACACCACCAGTAGTGGCTAGAGGTCACCGGCGGATTTTTGCTGCCATCGGCACTTTTTGTTGCCGGTCGACACTCACTTTTGCCAAAATGGCATTTTTGGCCGGCCGACTACTGTGCATCTGCTTTTGTAGATATTTTATCACAGTTGTCTTGCTTTTGGCTCCCCTCCATACACGTGTATGGAG